TTAGCCAGTGTGGTGGTGGGCGCCTGTACTCCCAGCTACTAGGGAGGTTGAGGCAGGAGAATCGCTTGAACCCAGGAGGCAGAGATTGCAGTGAGCCAAGATCACATCACTGCACTCCAGCTTGGGCAATAAGAGTGAAACTCCATCTCAAAAAAATAAATAAATAAAATAAAATCATATGAAACATCTTCTGTAGCATTTATATAGGAAAAGAAAATTCATAAGGAATTTTAATTTTGAACCAAAATACAGGCAAGAGCCTAGCAGAATTAATGGTATTTTATGTGAAACAAGGTAACTGGGAAAATAGAATATATTTCCTGAGATATCTAAAATATTGTAATAAAACTGAGTTAAAATAAATATTCTCCAGAATGTCCAGTTCTAGAGAGGAAATGAGACACAGTGAGCTGTGTTAGACACAATTAAGTATGTTGCAGTGTATTAGAAAGAAGGCTCCTTTGAACTCTTAAAGGCCAGAGAACTGAGCTAAAGGGGACTGGTGGGGGGCAGAACTTCTGCCAAGGACTAGTTGTCCCAACCTAGGAAAAGCCAGCAGGCACCTGATATGCAACTTAGAGGATGGTTAGGCCAATGTTTGTGGAGACAACCAGCAAAACTAAATAAGAGCAGAAGGCTAGGTCGAGGTTTGGGCATGAATGAAACAAAGGCTATCCTATTGGAATGGAAAAGACAGGAAAAAGGATTCAGAATGCTGAGTTAGGCAGAGGCATAGCTGTCAAATCATGGTCAGTCCATCAACAAGTGATTTTTAGCATAACCCTTAGAAGAGTACTGATCTTTCAGACATGGCTTAAAATAGCCTTTTTGTTTTGGTTTTGTTTTGTTTGAAAGAGGGTACTATAGTTCTACAACCTGTTACCTGCACTTGTAAAGGTCCTCCAATTCTGAAAACCAAGCTTTACCCCAAATTTGGTGCAAACTTGTTTAGCAGCAAAGCATGGTCAGGACCCAGGTTAAGCAACTTATTATTTTTCTTTATATTTCCACCTAGTGTTAATACTTACATGTCCACTATGGAAAGATCAAAATGTTTGCTCGTGGGAGGCAGCTCCAGGCCCCATCAGAAGTGCTGTATAATAGACAGCATGCACATTGTGTGATCTTTCTAACATTCAAAAGCTATTGAATTCTGAAACATGGCTGGATGGAGGGTTGTGAATAACAGATGATCAATCTGTATCTACACTATATTTTCTTTCTTGATGACCAAGTCACAGTACTAAACATAGCTTAGTACAAATTAGCAAAGCTTGAAAAATCATGCAACACATCTCTCCTGAGAAAGTGCCTGCAGAAATATCTGTGGACTGAAGGTGGGATCCAGTGATCCATCTGGTGCTCTAGGCATAACACCAAAGGCCAAGGGCAATGTTTTAAACTTTAAAAAAGAAAAAACTATACATATAATTGACAAAATTAACAAAGAAGCTTAAAAGCCAAAACTAATAACAGTCAACCATGGCTTAATTCAACTATGATGAGTGATCAGCAAATGTAATAGTTTAAGCCACAAAGACATATAAAATAATGTATTCCAGACTATGAAATCCACCCCCACCGCCCCACTGAAACAACAACAACAACAACAACAACAAACAAACAAAAAAACTTTCCAAAAGGTTTTACAGCACAAAGAATGATATTTAATGAGGCATGTGGTGTTAAATGCAGCTTCCCAAAAAAAAAAAAAAAAAAA